GAAAGCAGAGAATCCCAGAAAAATGTTTACCTATATTTTATTGACTATGCAAAGGCATTCAGCTGTGTGGATCATAACAAATTATAAATAACATTGCAAAGAATTGGGATTCCAGAACACTGAATTGTGTTCATTTGAACAGATGCAGTATCAGATACTGTGTGGTTTGAAATCATGAAAGGTGTGAGTCAAGGTTGTATCCTTTCACCATACATATTCAATCTGTAGGCTTAACAAATAATCTGAGAATCTTGACTTTTTGAAGAATGGGACATCAGAATTGGAGGAAGACTCATTAACAGCCTTGCTTGCTGAAAGTGAAGAGAACTTGAAGTGCTTAATGAAGAATATCAAAGACTACAGTTTTCAGTATTGGTTACACCTCAACATAAAGGAAACAAAAATCCTCATAACTTGACCAATAAGCAACATCATGATAAGTGGGGAAAATATTGAAGTTTTGAAAGACTTAATTTTACTTGGATCCACAATCAACACCTATGGAAGCAGCAGTCAAGAAGCCAAATGAAATATGCATTAGGCACATCTGCTGCAAAAGACCTCTTTAAATTGTTAAAGAGCAAAGATGTCACTTTGAAGACTAAAGTGTGCCTAACCCAAGCCATGGTATTTTCAGTTGCCTCACATTGTGAAATCTGGATAATGAATGAGGACAATGAACAAGGAATACTGGAGAAGAATTAATTCCTCTGAATTGTGGTGTTGGTGAAGAATATTGAATATACCATGGACTGCCAGAAGAACAAACAAAGGTCTTGGAAGAAGTACAGCCAGAATGCTCTTTAGAAGCCAGCATGGTGAGACTTTGTCTCATGTACTTTGGACATGTTATCAGGAGGGACCATTTCCTGGAGAAGGAATCATGCTTGGTAAGGTAGGGGGAAAAAAAAAACACCTCACTGCCATTGAGTCAATTTTGACTCAGCAACCCCCATTGGGTTTCCAAGGCTGTAAATCTTTACAGAAGTAGAAGTAGATTGCCTTATCTTCCTTCAATGGAACATGGTAAGTTTGAGGGCCAGTCCAAAAGAAGGAGACATTCAAGGAGGTGGATTGACACAGTGGCTACAACAATGGGCTCAAGTGTAGCAAGGATTGTGAGGGTGGTGCAAAACTGAACAGTGTTTCATTCTGTTGTACATAGGCTTGCTATGAGTCAGAACCAACACAACGGCACCTAACAACAATAACATAAAGCAATTAGAGATGAATTACAACCAGTCCCCAGGTTACAAATGTCCAATTTACATACAACCCATAGTTATGAACCAACTTCTGTAAAGGCTATTATATTAAATATTCAAGGTGCATAATTTAGTTCAGTAACAAATGGCCACTACTTTGCAACATACATCAAAGCATCATTATTGTTGTTGTTGTTGTTATGTGCCATTGAGTCAGACCTGACCCATAGTGACCTCTCCTTGGGTTTCCAAGGCAGTATCACTACGGAAGTAGATCGCCCACTCTTCCTTCCAAGGAGTGGCTGGTGGGTTTGAACCACCAGCCTTCTGGTTAGCAGTCAAGTACCTTAGGCACTATGCTATATTATTACTATTGAATTATTAAGTTAAAAATGTTTTAGTGGATAGGGACTTTTCTGTAATATTTCTTTATGCATAGAAAGGTATACTATATACTGTATACTAAGACAGACATTTAACACTAACTGTACATAACTGTTAAGACTTAAGTACAAATTTGACTTAAAGATGGATATAAAAACACAACTTGTTTGTACTCAGGGGGGCTTCCTGTAAATGCCGAGCTGAGTAGAATTGAGTAATTTTTCAAAAAGTAATTTCACTCTGGTTTCAAATAATGCTTCAGAGGACAGGTGGGATTAAACTCGATCTTAAAGAGAGAATAGTGGGGGTAAGGGAAGGAATCAAATAGGCCAGGGAAGCTGGAGGCCAACAATAGCAAGCAATATTGAGAAAACAGGCTGGAGAATAGGAGCAAGGGACATGGTATAACAGAATAACAACAGTAACAGCTAACACTTAGCATGTTAGAGACTGTTCAGGGTGCTTTATGTATGTCATATCCACTTAACCATCTCAGAGGTCCTAGAAAGTAAATACTGTTGTTATTATCAATGTTTTCTCCATTTTCAGGTGAGTAAATTGAGGCACAATGAGGTTAAGTACTTTCCCCCAGATCATACAACTAGTAAGTGAACGAACTACCATTTGGCCCCAGGCATGCTGCCCCCAGAGTCTGTGCTCCAATCATTATTCTGTATTCCGTGCTCCTTCTCCCAGAGAAGCAGGCTTGGAGTCAGCCAGACCTGAGAGCAAACCCAACACTTGCTTGTTATGTGACCCAGGCCAGGTTGGTAAGCTTTCTCAGCCTCTGCCACCATATCTGAAAAATGGAGACAATAATAATCATCTTTTATTGTGAGGATTAAATGAGCTATTTGTATATGTCGAGTACCTTGAGCTCCACCTTTTGCTCAGTAATGTTATGGGGAGGCAGATGGAGAGGAGAAGGCTGTGATAATGGAGAGATGGACTGAGGGACTAAGCTTTGGGTTTGAGGACAGAGGCCACAGGAAAGAGGAATGGTGCTTATGGTGGAAAACCTGGAAACCCAGAGGAAGAAGAGCCTGGAACCTTCAGCACTGAGACCTGTGACACTGACACCACCCCTGGCACCATTTATAGTATGACACAAAAGGGATTTTTAAAACTGACCCCTTTTATATTGAAATACAACTCACAGGCACTTCCAAATTGACTTTTGAGTTTCAATCTGCTAACAGCTGAGCTATTGGGAAGGAAGGAAGAACTGCTTCTGCAGCTCTGTTCTCATAACCTTTTTCCTCCAGGCTTCACCTTGATGCTACTGAGCAGACTCATCTCTGATGGCCTCTCCTGCCTGCAAGCCCGTGGGAGACTCTCTGCCCACCCACTGCAGACCTGTGCTGCCTGCACTGAGATCCTCAGCAGGCTCCTTTGCCTTAAAAACTTCTCTTTATAACATTGCTTTGATCAAAGGCCACCCTCCCTCGCCCCAGGTTAGAAACTGTGTTTTTCCACTGTCTGCCTCCTTGAGGACCACATTCATCCTCCAAGACCATCCATCCTCAAGCCTTCTTTGTCCCCAACTTCTTCTCTTCTCCAGCTCTGGGCTTCCACCAAACTCAAGTGCTTGCTGGTCGAGACAAAGGATGCTTCTCCTTCTCTCTATGCCTTTACACCAGGTCCCTAGGTAATGCAAGCTGTTTGCACTGACTACCAGTCAAAAGGCTGGTGGTTCAAACCCATCCAGCAGTGCTGCAGAAGAAAGGCCCAGTCATCTGCTTCCATAAGGACAGCTGAGGAAATCCTGTGGAACATTTCTACTCTGTAACACATGGGGTCCCTGTGTTTGGAACTGGCTTGACAACAATGGGTTTGTTTCTTTGGTTTATGCCTTTGCTAGGTTGAAGCTGCTTCCAAGACTAGGGAAGTGCTTGTGTTGGCATTGCTTCTGCAAGGAGTGTCTGCTTATAGAAATTGTGCCTACCTTTCAGAGCTTCATGAGACCTGCATATAGAAAATGGTTTAGAGGAAGGAGTCAAGGCAGGAGGCGGGGCCACAGTTTTGAAGATACTCTCAGTGCTCACAGCAAAAGTTATACTAAAGTTTCTGTTTGGCAAACCTTCAGCTTTCTCTCCTGTTTGGCAGGCCTAATGTTTTCTAGACCTCTTCTCTTATTTACTAGTTGGCTCTCCTTTTTTCCATCCTCCCTTGTTAGGGGCTACCCTTCATCCTTCTCTTTCCCTTCATCTCCCCTACCTCTTCCCTCATCACTGGTCTACTTTTCTGCTCTGAAGTTTATTGTCTGGAACAATGGAATTCCTACAACAACCCTGTTTCTGCTGCTTAGGTGTCACAGATAATTCATTATTCAGGTGTGTGTGGAGTTATAATCAGAAAAAGCCAATTTTTCGGGGTGATTTTTTTTTTTTTTTAAAGGGCTGGAGTTAGTTTGTTTACCATTATGAAAAGGAGTCCTGAGAATGGGTTAAAACTTTGGGGAACATTTATGATCCAACCTCAAGGTACACTACTTCCGAGTAAGGACAATATTCTGCTTGAGTAGTCACTGATGTCTCCTGGCCACCTGGGATGGATTTGCCCTTGTTCTGCTTTCTGCTCGTGCTTAGAAATTACCTCTCCCTCTTAGTGCTGGCTCCTTGTCTGTACTTGCACCTGTCATCATCTTATGTTTGATTGGGATACCACCAATAATTTAGAGGTACTCTGATCCCAGCTTTTTACAAAATAAATTCTAATTCTCTGACCATTATGGAGCTAGGTATATTTCAGCTCTTGATACTATAGAGAAAGCACCATGCTGGTTTTCTGGTTCTAGCTCTTTCACTAATATGTTGAGAGGCCTTGGACAAGGCACTTAATTTCTGAGCCTCGGTTTCCTTATCTTCCAAGTGAGGGAAATGGACCAAATGCTTACTTCAGTGTCAGCTATGGCTAATATTACATGACGACACATCCAGAATTAGGCACTAGGAGCATATATAGGCTTTTAATCTACTGTGAGGACCTATGAGCTCATGGGCACTCCTGGAGGAAAGGCAGGGATGAGTGTCCTTTTACTGCCTGCTCTGTTTCCTCAAAGGAGCTCTGGTGGCATATGGTTAAAGCATTCAGCTGTTGACCAAAAGTTCAGTGGTTTGAACCAGCCAGCTACTCTGTGGGAGAAAGATAAGGTAGTTTTCTTCCATAATGATTTACAGCCTTAGAAACCCTATGGGGCAGTTTTACTCTTTCTGTCTCATAGGGTCACAATGAGTCAGAAAAGACTTGATGGCAGTGGGTTTGGTTTTCTGGTTTTATGTTTCCCCAATATTTATTCTAACTGATGAGACTCTCTCCTTTTCTCTATCCTTCTTCTAGAACATTCAGACAAACCCCACAGACTCACCGGATGAAGAGTGACTGAGAGACTAACGGTCAGCTTTCTTTAAGATGGAGAAAACAGATGGTATGTAGGCTGCTTTTTATTCCCTGGCTTAAAGTGAGCACTTGGGTTGGAAAGGGATTGTTACTATAAATCCTGGAAATAGGTGAAAGAAAGCCTACAAGAAGACATTCCTCAAATAGGCAGTGTTGGTAGGCCCAAAGCAGGTATTTCAGATATAAACAATAGAAGGCAGTAGAGAATAAGAATGTAGCCTTATATTCGATGTGTATATAATCTTCAGAGTGCTTTCTCATCCTATCCAAACACGTGTTACCCTTATTTTATAGGTGAGGAATTTGAGGTGTAGAGAACAAGCACAAAATGGTAAAAGAGCCTCCTTTCACACCTGGGTAACTCTACAAGTTATTTGCCTTCATTGAGTCTCAGTCCTCTCATGTATCAGTTAACTTTGCTGTGTAACAAACCATCCCAAAGTTTAATGATTTAAAATAACAGACATTTAATATTTCTCAAGAGATTATGGAATGGGAATTCCAGAACTCTTAATTGTGCTCATGAGGTACCTGTACATAGACCAGGAGGCTGTTGTTCAAACAGAACAAGGAGATACTTCATGGTTTAAAATCAGGAAGGGTGTGTGTCAGGGTTGTATCCTGTCACAATACTTACTCAATCTGTAGGCTGAGCAAATAATCTGAGAAGCTGGACAATATGAGGAAGAATGCAGCATCAGGATTGGAAGAAGACTCCTTAACAACCTGCAATACACAGATGACACAGCCTTGCTTATTGAAAGTGAAGATGATTTAAAATACTTACTGGTGAAGATTAAAGACTATACTGTGGATTATACCTCAACATACATAAAGAAAACAAAAATCCTCACAACTGGACCAATAAGCAGCATCATGATAAATGGAGAAAAGATTGAAGTTGTCAAAGATTTCATATTGGATCCACAGTCAGTACCAATGGAAGCAGCAGTCAAGACGTCAGACAACGTATTGCACTGGGCAAATCTGCTGCAAAAGATCTCTTTAAAATGCTGAAGAGTGAAGATGTCACTTTGAAGACTAAGGTGCACCTTACCCAGGCTATGGTAT